TAAGAAGTTGGTTCCTTAAGTGGTGTGGTTACTGTACTTTATTTTCTAAGATATTATTTATTCTTCAGCTTCTCTTTTAGTCAAGAGTTTGTTAACTGTTTTGTTATTTTTTAAATATTTTTTATTGATCTATCATATTTGTACATATTTATGGAGTACATAAATATGGATATTTTGATACATGCATGGAATGTATCATGCACAAGTCAGGGTATTTAGGGTATCTAACACCTCAAGCATTTATCATTTCTTTGTGTTGGGAGCATTTCAAATTCTCTCTTCTGGCTATTTTGAAATATACAATACATTGTTTTTAACTATAGTTAACCCTATTGTAGTATCGAATATAAGAACTTGTTCCTTCTATCTAACTACGTATTTGTACCCATTAACCCTCCTCTCCTCATCACCCTCCCCCCACACATCCTTTTCATCTCTTGTAACTATCATTTTACTCTCAACCTCCGTGAGATCATGAGAGTATGTTAACTCAAATATCAAGAACTAGAGCTTGATACAGGTGGTTTTGTGTTTTCTTAGTATTCTCTGGAGTTTTTTTAAATGGAAATTATGCGGTTTTACTGTAGAAATTTTGTGGTTTCAGTGTGGTTTCTCTTATCTACAGGGCACTATTTTCAGATTTTTGTTAAATATAATTGTTTAAAAATTATTGCATTAAAGATCTCATGTTCTTCAAAAGGGAATAGTCCATTGACTGTCTTGGAATAGCAGATGCTGTGACATCTTGGGTTTATATTACTTACCTTTAAAAAAATTAACACTTTCATATATCTCACAGTAATAGTTTATTAACTGTTCAGCCATTTTTGGATTCTTTCTTTATATATTCATGTGATGATCAACACTTTACCAACTGAGGAATTATTTTAAATATATGTTATTAGGTAATTCCAGTGTGTTAAATTATTTAGGATAATATGAGAAATTGACCAATAAACAATTATTGACAGCTTGATTGGAGGCAGGTCCTTCCTGTTGTTCCTGTACTGGTACATAATGAAACACATTTTCAGTGCACTTGGACTTAAAAGAAGAAAGAGTATTGACCGAGGGTAAGATGTCCTTAGATGTACATATAAATTATATCCCTGCAACATGGGCAAATCTCCCCTCTTTCAGTTTCTCTTGGTCCTCTTGCAAAGAGGACATGTTAATCTATTCTTCGTAGAGTTATCATTAAGTAGTAAAGTAGATGTTTCAGGTGTCACAAATATTAAATCTGACATTTATTGACATTTTGGATGTTACCTATCCCAGATGCTTTCCCTGATCATCAACCTCACTGACTGGTATAAGGGCTCGTGTTCTGTCTTCCCTTTGCACATGGGGCACATTTTTGTCATAGCATATGTTACAGTTGTTTGCATTCTCGTCTTCTCCTAGCCCCATGCTCTATACTAAGTGTTCCTGAAAATCAGAGTTGTTTCATCTCTGTGTTTTGGGAACATCACACAGTGGCTGGCACAAGATAGATGCTTAAATTTTGCTGGAAGAAAACGTGGTTAAAAACAAAAAAATAGTTAGATAATCGTAATATTGTCTTAAGACTAATACATTAGTTTCTCCAGTGTGTTATTTATGAAAGAAATTAGTGTTTCTTTGTATCTCTAGTGAAAACATATTTTAATATTTTAAAGGACCTATTTTGTAACCTAATGCTACTATTTGGAGGCATATAAGTGGCTGTGATATTAAGCTTGGGTGGGAATATACTCAAGCAAGGAATTAATAATACCAGTTTCTGAAATACAGGATTGGAAGGTTACAATGAGGGTGTAGAGGGCACGAGGTTATAAAAAAATCCACTCAACATGCATCAAAGTTTATTAAAACAAACAAACAAAAAAGTAACTCATAGATCTGTGTTATGATTAACCCAAAGAGGCAGGTCCTCCACAGGCCACTTTGGCTCAGGAGACAAGCCCATCTTCATGTCAGATGCAATACTTGGGTGCATCTTCCCTAGCAGAATCAATGGCCAAATGTAGTGGGAAGAAACTAGTATTATGTTAGAATATTTTATGGGGAGAAAGGCTAAGGGCTTTACCTACCACGTAGAAAAAAACTCACAAAATTCTGTTTTTAATATCTTTATGTTTTTCTCTTAAAATGCCACGCAAGCTTCCAACAGCACACTTCTCTCTCACTACTAAGCCTCCAGTAGCCTGGTATTGATGGGATCCAGGCAATTCTGGCTCTAATCTCGAATTGGCCACCCAGCAGCTAGCAGACACCACCCATTTGGAAAGCAGTTCAGAGGTTGTGTTGTGGTGTTTCCAGCTTTAATGTCTGTGTCTCAGAGTTAGCAAAATAATTTACACTGTGATCAAAAACACATATATACTTAGGAATATAATTGAAATAAAATGTTTTTAAAAATAATTTTTACAATGGACTCGTACTTCTCTCCCCTCCCTCCCTTCTCCTCCTTACTCTTCTCCTTTTTTTGTTCTAATGTATTTAATTTAAAAAAAGACACTAGTTCTGATCTACCAATTTCTCTCTATTAGTAGTTTGAAAAACATTATATTATGTTGTTTAAATACAGCTCTTGGAGTCTCAGTCCACATGTCAAGCATCCTATCAAGGTACTTACACCACTAAGGGTTTTTGTTTTTTAAAGAAATGCTCCTGCTGTTAAATAAAATTATTTTTCCATATCATTACCTAAGAAACTTGAGAACCAAGGAAGTAAAGCTGCTTAAGGTTGATTATTTCGTGCTTCCTCTGGGCCCAGGCACAAAATGCCATTTGCCTTAAGGAGCAGTGTGCTATTGAGGCCCCTCAGATTCCCTGGCCTTCTGAGGTGCTCTTCCTGAAAAGCAAAGCCTTTTTATTATTTTCTTCTTTAAATCCCTGCAATATAATCACTAAAAAGCAGAAGAAGTATAGAACACGTGTAAATCCATGTCACTTAAGTCATTTAGCACGGAAAACATTCCTTATTATCTCTTTGTTACATTAACGCAGTCTACTCCCAGCTGTCTTCCTGTTCATTCTCAGCAGTGCTTTAGCCTGATGCTTCTGTAAGTTACCACAAAGCTGTTTCCACATTGGCCCTAGGAGATGTATTGTTTCAATGCACCATCAGTCTCACTGCCAACACTCCCTTTACAGGTGGCAGCAGGTTAAGCTTACCTTGCAGTTTATCATCATTATAAACATCTTATGTGTGGGCATATGAAGAGCACTATGGGAATTTTACATACATATGGAAAAGTGTGGTTCATGCCTTTGAGGATGCTAAAATAAAATTCAATCAGAGGCAGTCACCATATGCAATGCTTAATCATGTCATGTGATGGCCATTTGCTGATGGTACTATACCATATTTCCAAAGCATTAGTGTTTTCAAATGACTCAATCAACTTCTGCCAAGTTATGCAAAAAACAACTAAATGATGAACCTTTTCCAAAAATGTTTGCCCATTTCTACTACTAAATTCATGTCACAGAAATAACTCTTTGAGTAAGTGCCACTGGTCTTCTGTGGAAAACACTTTATTCGGTGGCAATGTTGAAACATCCAATGTGAATCATAAACATTTATGGCAATAGAAACAATAAATTCTCTTTCCTTCTTCAAATTCAGTAGAAAAATTGCTACTTATGCTAGCTAGGTATTCATTTGTCTTTGTAAAGACAAATGACAATGCATTCTGTTTCAGGGTAGTTGAGATATTTCTCAAAAAAGCAGTATAGTTTAATTCTCTGTTTTACTTGCTCGGATAGAAGAGTCCTTTTGTATCTCGAAGGCTAGAGGCAGTATTTTCCACAAATAAATAATATACTAAATTGATTCTTAATTTTTTAAATTAGCCTTTGGGAAGAAAGATAGAAGGTACTGCTTTTCTGACAGTAAAAATTAATGTTTATCAACATTTTTACTTAAAGGCATGCATGCAAAGCTGAATTGGTAGATATTTTAAAATTTTAGCTTACATAGAATGTTTTCCATCCATGAAGTTATTAAGACTTTTTTAAAAAACAAATTTCAAACTAGTTGGGCTTTTCTTCTTGGAATTTGAAATGCATCTGTTACTTTTGCATTTTGAATCAGCAATTTTAAAAGCCTCATAGTTGAAATTTTTTTCTGGTGAATAATTACTCTGCTGTCACAATAAATTTTTACCTGGTATAAATGTTGTCATGATGCCTTTTTAGTTGTATTGAAAATATATATGTATAATTGCTTTTATTTAATAAAAGCACATTTGTGTATGTTTGTGTGTGTGCAACACTTAGACAAACAATGCAACCCCATCGAACCACTATAATAAGATGCTATTAAACAGGAACATGTAGAAATACATATTTAACAAGTGAATCCTGAGAGCTATCAGAAATTCATGGAAGCTCAAATAAGAAGCAATCCTTTAATATCTTAATATTTTCCTTAAATTTTTTTGAATCCTAAGAAAATGTCAAAAAAGTGGGAAGTACACAGATTTAATATTTCCCCAGTGAGTTCCACAGAGCCAGAAACAGGATTTATAAAGAACTCAAGTGCCATAATTTTCATTAATAGCTGAGTTATATGGTAATTACATTATTAGTGTTGTGTTATTGCTTACTACTACCTGTATCTCTTCATATACTCCCGAGCATGATGAACTAAAAAAAACAATAGAAACAATTAGCAGGATCATCTGATTAGCAACAGACAGATCAGTCCTGGAACAAAGCACTTTATGCATGAGGCAAAAAAAAATGGTCTTTGGATTATCAATATTCTAGTAAAGTTTCCATAACTAAAAGGAGTAGTTTGAATGTACACATTTTAATAACCCTGGACTGACCAATTTAGCTGATGTCAATATATATTTAGAGGCTACTGTTATTTTGAATTTTCTTGTATCTGTTTAACAGCCCTGTACAAAGAGAAAATAAATCAAGCATGTGGTCAAGACTAGTGGGCATTCATATTCAGACAATTTGTGTATTCTTACAAATGTGTTTAATTACAACTGCTTCAAAAGTATCCCAGGTTTTCAAAAGTTTATTTTAAGTTTGAAGACTAGACAAGGTCATACTGATTTTACAACATCCTACATGATATAAGTATATATACAAAGAAAAAACAACATTGGGATATTACACAGCTTGAAAGTTTGCAAAGGTTATTTGTGTCATAGTTATTTCTGTACGTACTGACATATTAGATGCCAGAATTGAGTATTATATTTCATAATTTGTTGACTAGCAAAGATATAATCATTAGTACCCCAAATCTTCAAAATTCACACCAATCTTTATGAAACATTCAGAAAGAGAAAGTCAACCCTAAAATTAGAATTAGTGAATATAATAAATGCTTTTAAAAGGATGTAGATAAAATGGAGATGCTTAAAATTTTAATTTCATAAATTATAAAATGAGCATGTGATAGTTACTCAATATAGTGATGACTAGGTGATTCTTTTGTGTATTCTGCTTATGGTATTTTATTTGTTTTAGTGTGAATTTATATAGCATAAATTTTGCTTCTCTTTGATGTCATTGATACAAGTGACACAAGAGCTACTTTATCACTTCACAATAATTATCAAAATTTACACATATGGGACTCCTTTGCTGTCATCAATTTTGGGCATCATGGGACAATAGATATCCCGTTGGACATGCTGTCTTGTGAAGAGCATATAAAGCAAAGAGAAGATGCAAAAGCAAGAGAAAGCCATTTCAATGTCTTTCTAAGGGACATTGAATTTTAACCAACTCCCTTGGAAAATATTTTTTAAACAGCTATCAGTAGAAAAAAATTCAAAACATCATAAAAAGACATTAGTAATTTTGAAAAAGTAAATCATCACAAAGCATTACTCAGAATTTTAAAAATATACTCTTAAGAATGAAGAATCATGCATAATCTGCAAAGCAAAACATCTAGAAATTTGGTGGGACAGTAAACCTTGGAAGAAATGAGGACAACTGGCTAGATGGTAAGTGTGTATATTTTTGAACTGAAGTAATTATTTGTCACATATCTTTAAAGTTTAGCCTATTAAAAATATTTAAAATTCCTAACTTCAAATTTATCTTAAAAAGGTGACACTGACAACATAAAAATTTTATTTTTGAAAGATGTTGAAAACTGATTATCATTTCAGAGGCTTCAAATCAATAATTTCAAAATGAGAAGCCGAAGTAGAAAGCAAGGGGGCATGGAACCAACATGTGGTCAACTAGTTTCCTTAGACCAACTAATTTTGCTTTTATTAAAAATGCCAATATGATTGACTTTCTCTTTAAATTCTTCACTGTGATTGAAGACCATATATACATCATTAAGAAATGCTGTTAACACATGGACAGACAAGACAGTAACAGTCTAGTGGCTTTTGTTATGCAGCACAAATATTAAAGGAAAAAAAAGTTAGCAGTGTTGTGTAGGACCTTAACATTTCATACACATACTATCTTTTCTTTTCCAAGACCCTTAATTTAAAACTCCAATAATTCTGTCTAAGCCTTATAAAATAAATACTTGTAAAGCTTATAAATTAGATGTTGAAGACATTTATGGAGGCAGTGTGAGCTTTAATTTGAGAGACATGTCAATGGAACCTCCATTATCAATAACAAATTGTTATGATAATTGCTTATTTTTTCAGGCCCTTTGAAACAAAATAAATAGAAATATATTTTCATCTTGAAAATGGTTTACTACTTTGTCATTAGTAAATACTCTGCTTCTCACAAATAAGTAAACAATTTGCTTTCCTGGGAAACTACCACCAGTTTCAAATCTCAATAAAATTTTAGTTTCATAGGAAATGTGGAGATGAACAAAGAAATGATGAGTATGCTTGGCCAAGGTATGCAGTACTATGTTAGTATTTGCTAATATTTTTTTAAAATAGACAATTCATGATTCTATTATTTTAAGGTAAATATAAGGCCATGTAAATACTATTAAAATGAAGATTTAAATTGAAAGGGACATAATACATTATTTCTTGTTCCTTTTTGCAAACTGGTAGCATGGGATTCTGTATAAATAAAGTATTTGGAAATTATGTAGTTATAACTTCCTTCAAAAATAAAATTGCAGATTTAATATACTGATATTAAATGCAGATCCATCTACTGATATTCAGTCGAGTTCCATGTTTACAAATAAAATGACACTTCTCTTAGGCAACGAATAGGAGAAAGTTAAATTAGAAAAAATATTGTGTTATTCAGGCAATATGCAATATAAAGAATATAGAACAGAAGCAAAAGTAAAAAGATCATATTTTCTCTGATTAGATATAATGAAAGTAAAATGAGAATTATATCAACTAGTACCTCATGTTACAGATTCTTCTTCAAATTTTTGTTATCAACACCGACAGTATTTGATAGGCACAGGGAAACAATTAGGATAACGCAGAGTCATTATAGAAGAAAAATACCTTATTGCTAACATTGCAGTATTCCTTTCACAAGAATTAGTTGAGTATTGATTGTAAAAGCTCTATCAGCTCTTGCTTGTATTTGATGACTTTGAGATTTATTTACCCTTGCTATAAAAAGAAGGCTACTTTCTTTCCCTAACGTATTCCAACCAATGTGAATAATTCAGAAAACAATGAGAAAAGTAATTCACAGCTAATGTGATGTGACTTAAGAGACTTGACCAATAAAAATCAAATTAAATCATTGAAAAGGCAGGCTTAGACCTCCTTAAAAAGACAGTGGCCTACCATAATTTGAGCACTTTTTCATGAAAAAAAACTCATTCAGTTTCCTACAGATTTTGAACAGTTCATTCCATGGAAATACTTCTAGGGAAGTAGAGAAGAGAGTTGTGGGGTGTAGGGTTTCCTCATTCCTCCTCTGTGCAGCCCAGCAGCTCTGACCGCAACGTGATTCTCCCGTACCAGGACCAAGGAAGGATTCTTATGTGCCGCGCATAGATGGGAGGATCAATGACATTTTTCCTGTGGGTGTCATTGTCAAAATTGCCCTGGAAAACCTAATAAAGAAGAGCAAAAAAGGTTAATCACATAGACTTTTTTCCTTTGTAATTATTTTTGTTTTCTTGTTTAAACATTTTTCCCAAATGTGATGTTGGATAACTATTCATTTTTGTTTTTTCTAAATATATTGAAACTTCTTTTTAAAGATTTAAAATTATCAATTAATGGCTAATTTAAAGAGTTAAATGAAGCAAAATTGTCTAATGCAGGAATACATAAGTCAACCATTTTTGTCTGTCTGCTTCTCTCATTTTTTTTTTTTTTTTTTTAATGCAACAGATAGTCGTCGTCTTGTTTATTCCACAGGCTGACATGGGCCTGGAAGCGTGCTGAAAGCGTTTTCTTCCAAGGAGTCACTCAGAGATCCAAGCTGCTTGCAAAGTATACCCATCATCTGGCTCCCACATTAACAAGAAGCAAGGCGAGGGAGAATTGGTAGATTGTGCAGGATGTGTTAAAGAACAAGTATGGAAGCAGCTTGCATCATTTTTGTATGTCATTTCTCAGTATCTTTTGCTTACTTCTCACATAGAGAATATAATTAACCCATTCACCAAGAAGGCAACCCAACCAATGGTTTTTGAACCATTTTTTTTTTTTACTTCATCTGTTAATGCCTAGATCCGTACAATACTGTTGCGATCATTTGTGACTTATCATTATCTTGAAGGTTTGCATTGCGTGACTGTTCTTTCTTCTATTGTTAAAAAGCATTTTTGAGCATGTAATAGTCATTCCTTCTCCTTTAAAAGACTTTTATAATAAGTTAAACAAATGTCTACTTCAGAAAAACAAAACAAAATTAAAACACTGGGATCTCATTAGACATGGCATTAAACTATAAATTATTTGGCAAGAAACTGAGGTATTTATATTATAAATCTTCACTTGAAGATTTTACCAGTTTTCTCCCATATAGATTCTGAACATTTTTATTAAAGTCATTTAACTATTTTATATGTATATTTTTGTTTTAGCTTAACTAGGATTGTGAAAATCTCTTCAATGTTTTCTCTTTGAATATTATGAGGCATCTGATAATTGTAAGATGATTTTCTTTCTTGTTTTTGATCCAAACGTATCTATGTGGCCAAAGGGAGACCTGAACATAAAATTCCAAAACATTAAAAAAAAAAAAAGAAAGAAACTCCATCGCCTTGTGACAAACTACTTGACCCACATCTTTGAACATTTTGAAATTAAAGATAAGGTTTTAAAAATGGCCTTCTAAAATAAGTTGGTCCAGTCTTGTGTGGTTACAAAAGATCCCCTGCCTGGAATGAGAAAAAAGAAAGACAGTTTTCTCTAAAGCATTAGACAGTAGGGCTCTGATTAATAGAAGCAACAGACAAGAGTGCTAGTCTTTCTGCCGGTGCTGCTGGTTCTGCGGGCATATCCAAATTCATGTTCATTTAACAGGCATTTTATCCCCAGGAATGCTCTGTCCTGCATTGACCAAGAAAGCGCTCATTCTGGATTGGAATGTGTTACTAAGTAACAGTGTCTCTGTTAGCAAAAGCTCATAGTACAGGGCATACAATGTAAACACTCACCAAAAATCTTGAGAGAGGTTGTCAGTGCAAAGGCAGAAAATAAGCTCTGGTTTGAGGGCATTCCCTCTGACACATGATGCTAGACTCAAGTGCTTCACTGAGATTGTGGTGTTACAATTGAACATGAAATCTAAAGTACAGTTTCGTAGCCCTGCTAGGGAACTTAATATATATCCTTGGGGTAATAGAGTTTAAATTCATTAACTTTCATTGCAAGATCTATAACAGCCCAAAATACAGTTTTATACCAGTTTGGCGGAAGAAATTTAGGAAGACACAGTTTTCTCATAAGTGTCTGCTCTTCAGCACAGGTTTCAATAAGGAACTATCAACCCAGAAAGCATTAGTTGAATTATTGATTATCCTTATTTCTTTATAATGAAGAACTTATACAAAGAAACTACGTTAGCTCTGAAATTGCATACAACGAAATTTCTGAATATGTGAAAATCATAGATATTTGGATGCTCATTTTAAGAAAATAAGTGAAGTTTCATAAAACAGGATAATTTCTAAAACAAAAGTCCCCCCCAGAAAAATAGCCAAAATCTATACTGGAATAACCCAATCCATGGTCTAAAAGTATTGAAAATATACTCTTATTTTCCGAGATCTCTCACTAATGGCGCAGCACAAAACAAAGCACATGCTTGCTAATAACTCTTGGGTGACATTTTGTACTTTCTGTGTAAACATGTGGCACATTTGCTATTTCTTGTCTCCAGCATTAGGAAGACCCTCCTCAAGAATGCTATTTCAATATTTTGCATGGCAAAAGGAATGCAAACACAGTATTTTTAGTTAACTTTATAAAATCTGTATGATTGTAGCAAAGTGCTTTCAAATGTACACTTTTAGAGATATAAGTACCTCGACTTAAATTGAAGTCTGAAAAGACCAATGGAGAGCATGAAATCTCTCCATCTAAAAGGGAAAATATTTATATGAGAAAGACGGTTTGATTTAGAAATTTTTAGAAAAAGTATGCACGAGTTTCCATTTAGGGAGGAGGCTAATTAGCCCATGACAAGTTTGCTGATGTATTCAAACATGATAATGCTTACGGGTCTCTCAGGCTGTTCCTAACATATGGGGCCTGAAGAAAAAGGCGCTCAAGGTACTTTGGAAAGGCTTCCAAAATTACAACAGAAGAGAAGAGAAGACAGAAAAAATATGACTCCCTCAATGTAACTGAGATCTTGAATTTTGTTTTCATATGTTAACTCTCCTGTGATGCTAGATAAAATTTAAATCAGATTCTAGTGAGGATTCATGTATCAGATATTACAAGAGAATACCAGATAAAATGAAAAAAATTAAATGTTGCTTCCAGCAATATTTTTATATTTTTTATAAAATAACAGCTGTCGTTCTTGTTAGGGACCAATGTCTATTCAGGCCAGTGCAGACGTCATCAACAGGAGGTTGCCAAGGACCACGGAAGAAGGGAAGATTATCCTCCCTGACAGTCAGAGAGGTGGGAATATTTCAGCTTCCTTTAGCAGTTATGAAATAGGGCTCTCAATATCAAAGAATCCTTGGGGATTTCTTTCACATACTATTTCTTTAGAAAACTGTCTATTTCATGAAGATGTCCTTCTTTTTATTTGTCCTAAACTGAACTCATTAAAAGTTTTAAAGAGATTCCCATTGTTCTAACCTTTTGGAAACTTATGTTCAGATCGTCCAAACAGTAAGTGATTGTCAGCAATTTTATATAGTCTCCCTTAACTCTTCAAGCTTTAAGAGTCAGTATTTTAGTGAGATCTCAAGTGACTACCATTTCATCCCTCTGGCCTTTTGATTGTCCCCGTATACATTTCATTATTTCTCTTTGGATATGTGGAGACTAGAATCACATCCATGATTCCGGATATTGTGGAAATACAAAGATGAATGAAATGTTCTCAAGTTTCGTCTGTTGTTCACGTTTGCCTTGTTAATGGTGTCTAGTGTACCATTGGTTTTACTGACTCTACCTGTACACTGAACTGATGTGCTTACGGAATAGAAGACATAGATCAAAATCCATTTCCCTAGGGCAGCATGTGTTTGTGTGTGTGTGTGTGTGTGTGTGTGTGTGTGTGTGTGTGTTGGGGGGTGATAGCTAAGAATTCTTTATGTAGTACATATAATTTCAATAATTTATTCTTTCATACAGAGTACTTTTAGAGAAGTTGGATAAGAACAGTCTTTTCTAGCTCTGGTCCCTGAGAAACCCTGTTTTTATCCAATTTTACCCACATAATGAAAGAATCTGAGACTTGGAAGAGAACTTAGAGATCTGCTGGCATCAACTTCCCTCTCTAATACTTATGACATGGAACTTTCAGCCTATTCAAAGCAAACTTTCCCACACGCATTAGGGCAGTCATGCATTTGGACAGTTTGATATCTTTTTATTAGGCTGAAATATATCTCTCTAACTTCAATGTATTAATCCTAGGGCTTTATTCTCAATGAGCATAAGACAAATCTAACCCATTGAAAGAACCTTTGACATACTTCACAATAACTAACACAAACCACTCAAAAACTCAAATTCAATCTTCCAGAATAAACATTTATGGTTCCTTAAAAAGTTCCTCATGTTAGATGATTTTCAGACTTGTCACCATCTTGATTGTATTCCATTAGATAAGATACCCTGTGGTTTAACTATGAATCAATGAAAATGTGGTATTTATTTGGACATAGAATGTAGTTCATAAGATGAACAGCTCAAAAGATAGAGTGCACTTTTGTAGTGAATGGAAACTTCCATCAATGTAGTCTAAGATTTAAAACTATTATATTACATTTTGGGTTATAATAGATTGATTTATGGTCAAATAAACTCTACTGTTTTCATAGAACTTCTCTTCAGCCAGGATTTTCTCATTTTTTTACTTGAATCGGTTTTATAAAGTAACTATTTATACATCATGTGAATATAAAATCTGAGCTTTGGGGTGACATAAAGGACAGATGTTTATTAGCTTATGGTTCAGCATCATAAAACTCATTTTTATACACTTAGTATCAACATTACTTACATTTTTAGACAGTCAAAAATTTAAAGTTACAACTGGAATCAATGCTTTAAGTGATTTAAAGTCTTATGAAAATTTTCACAGAATTGGTATGCAGGAGTGGAGTTAAACATAACATTTTTCTATTTACATAGTGTTTGGAAGAAAGCCTTCATTGTTTCTAATTCTATGACTAGATTGTTGATAATATTTTAGACTAATCTACAATTTTATATTCTACTTTGCCCTATATTGGAGCATTTCAAAAATCAAAATTTTTCCTTGAAAAGTAAATACAAAATTGTTAAAATGTATAGAAAATTGTTTCATAAATTTCATTTAGTGGTATAAGTCTGTATCAGATTAAAAAAATTCTTCTTGGAAGTTTTGCTTGTATGAAACTTCTGTTAGTGATTTAATATAAAATGTTTG